CTAAATAAAAGGACAATAATTAAAATATACAGAATATATAACCACACAATAATAATGTAACAACAACAACAAATTCATTGATCAGCATTGGAAGATATTAGCAAGTTAACTCATTACTTTTATTTTATTTTTGGTTAATCCTCACCTGGGGGTATTTTTCCATTGATTTTTACAGAGAGTTAGAGAGAGAGGGAAAGACAAAGAAAAACATCCATGTGAGAGAAACACATGGATTGGTTGCCTCCTGCACAAGCCCTGGAGAGGAGCCTGCAACTGAGGTATGTGCCCTTGACCAGAATTGAATCTGGGACTCTTTGTAGGGCTACTTTGAAGTATCCGGGACCTGGGATAGAACAGGCCGATGCTAAATCCACTGAGTCACACCGGCTAGGGCACTGATTATTTTTAAAAGTAGAAAGTAAAGAGAATGAATCAAGAATTAATCACCCTAGTTCTAGCTGGCTTGGCTCAATGGATAGAGGGTCAGCCTGTGGACTGTAGGGTTCTGGCTTCGATTCCAGTCAAGGCACATGCCCGGGGTTGCCAGGTGGGGAGCGTGCAATTGGCAGCAGATCAATGATTCTCTTTCATCATTGATGTTTCTATCTCTCTCTCCCCTCTTCCTTCCTCTCTGAAATCAATAAAAATATGTTTAAAAACCAAAAGAATTAATCACTGTAGCTGGTTTGGCTCAGTAGGTAGAGCATTGATTGGCCTGCAGACTGAAGGGTGCCAGGTTCAATTTCAGTCATGAACACATGCCTGGATTGCAGGCTGGATCCTCACTGGGGGAGAGTGCAGGAGGCAGCCAATCAATTATATTCGTCATTGCTGTTTCTATCCTTCCCTCTCCCATCCTTTCTGAAATCAATAAAAATATATATTTTTTTAAAAAGAATTCATCTTGTCTTTCTATTTAAACCATACCACTGGGTAATCAAATAGTAAATGAGACAAGTTTCTCTTTATAAACATATGCCAGCTAATGTAAAAGAAGAAGTAGGAGGAGGAAGAGGAAAAGAGGAGGAGGAGGAGAAAAACTAGAATAGCATTGTTCCTTAATGCTTAATAAATTCATAAGTTTGGGAATTATTCATCAACTAAAGAGAGGCAACCAAATATTTGTCCTTCTAATGGAAAAACATAACCAAAGACAAAATAAACTTACAAGAAAAAAGAAAAAGCACTTAAATTAGGTCAAACCTCTATATCTAACTATTAATTTACACTAACTATAGACACAAAAGATGCAAACATATTTACACGATGAAGATACAATCAGTAAAATCAAATTATTATTTTTTTAAACTGCAAGTTTTAGGCTTTATTTGAATTTGAATGCAAAGGAGAAAACTGGAAACGTATGTAACATTTATAAATCAATTGGAAATTTGAGCCCTGACAATATTATTGTGTATATTTAAAAATTGGTTTAGAGACACTTAGTGAAATATGTGTGATTAAAATAATAAATCTACTTGTTTCAAAGTATGTGAGATAGGGAACAGGTAGAGATAAATATAAAACATGAGTAGTCACTAGTTGGTAATTATTGAATGTGGTACATGGCAATTAATTCTCCCTAATTTGTGTATACTTAAACTTTTCTATAATAAATTTGAGTATCCAAAGTGTTCTCTTTTGATTCATTCAATTCCTATTATTTCTCAGATATTTTTACAGTATCAATTTTTCTATGTATATAATTGCTATAGACTGAATATTTATACCCATCATCCCCATTCATATTGAACTTAATCCCCAAAATGATGGTATTAGGTCAGTGGTCAGCAAGCTCATTAGTCAACAGAGCCAAATATCAAAAGTACAACGATTGAAATTTCTTTTGAGAGCCAAATTTTTAAACTTAAACTTCTTCTAATGCTATTTCTTCAAAATAGACTTGCCCAGGCTATGGTATTTTGTAGAAAAGCCAAAGAGTTGCATATGGCTCTAGAGCCGCAGTTTGCCGACCACGGTATTAGGAGGTTGGACCTTTGGGAGGTGACTAGATTATGAGGATAGAGCTCTCATGAATGCGATAAGTACCCTTATAAAGAAGCCCCAGAGAGTTCTGTTTTGCTCCTCTTTCTTTTTTCTTTTTTTTAAATTCTCACTCTAGGTTATTTTTCCATCAGTTTTTAGAGAGAGTGGAAGAGAGATGGAAAGACAGAGAAACACAACCATTGGTTGCCTCTTGTATGCGCCCTGACCAGGGCCTGGGCTGAGGAGAAGCCTGCAACTGAGGTATGTGCCCTTGACCAGAATTGAACCTGGGCCCCTTTGATCTGCAGGTCAACGCTCTATCCACTGAGCCAAACTGGGTAGGGCTCTTTTTTAAAAAAAATTCTCACCTGAGGATATGTGTTTTTTGTTTGTTTTGCTCTTGTTTTAGAGAGAGGAAGAAGAGAAATATCAATGTGAGAGAGAAATATCAATCGGTTGCCTCCTGTTCACATCCCAACCAGTGATGGAACCCAGAAACCTAGGTACTAGTATGTACCCTGACTGGAATTGAACCTTTTGGTGTACAGGACAGGACAATGCTGCAACCAACTGAGTCATTTGGCCAGATTGCCAAGCTCTTAAAAATCTTCAAGACTTATATAATACCTATTAACTCTTACTGAGGAAGCCAGTATATCCACATTTCTTTCCACATTCCTGCATTCACCCTTATGTCCCATCTGTTGTCTTTTTGTTCTTTATAATATTACTATAACCCTGAGAAACACCTGGAATAGTCTAATTTCACCAGCATTCTTATCCATGTATTTTATTGCTCTTCTGATTACAGGTGATATGGGACAACAGCTATTGGCCAATTTAAATGAAAACAAACACACACATGATATTTAGGATTTTTAAGCTGATGAGAGTTAGATTAGGTGTTTGGACTTTGAGTTAATGTTATAATAGGATAAGACCATGTAGCATTTGCATGTGGATGGGTATAAATCTTTGGGGACCAGAGAGTGAATGGGGGTAGAAGGAGTAACAGCCTCCCAAAAAGGTTCACATTCTAATTTCTGGAACCTGTGATGTGTTACCTTACATGGCAAAATGGACTTTGCAAATAATTTTAAAGTTACAGAGGTTGAGATCAGGAGAAAAGCTTTTATTGTCCAGGTAGATCCAATTTAATCACAGGGTGTCTTCTGACAAAGAACTGGCCCACTGCTGCTGGCTTTGGGAGACAGAGGAAGACAGTCTCTGAGCTAATGAATGTTGGTGGCCTCTAGAAAGAAGCAGGGAACGGCCTTCAGTTTACAATTAGCAAGAAAATGGGGACCTTTGAGAGAAGTTAGAAGCAGAATTAGGTAGACAGGGTAAGGGGTGAAAGGAGCAATCCTAGAGGCAGCTGAAATCACAAAATGTTTTGCAGAGAAAGAGGATAGCAGAAAAACAAGGTGTTTTGAAACAAGGATGCTTTTCTTGCAAGTGAAAAATAAAATGCTACAAAAAGGCCAGGAACCAATGAAAGGGGCACAGATAGACCAAGAGCAGGCCTTTAGCAGATATGAAGTGGAAGAGCAAAATGCTTCAGAGCAAGCTTTTTGGGTCCTCTCCTTGACCTGGGAGCCTGTGTTTGTTTGCAATGAACTCCTGCCTTGTTTGAACTCTTCTGGTCTGAGGTTCCATTCTTTGAATCTGTGAGAAATCTGTGAGAAGAATTCCTGCTCATTGATTCAGTTATCACCTTGATCCTAAAATCACATGGAAATAAATTCTGCCAGAAAATCAAATAAGCAGAAAACAATTCTCCCCTTTAGTTCAGTAAGACTTGTACCAAATTTCCAATCTATGGAATGGTAAAATAATATATTTATGTTTAAGACACTAAGTGTTTGAATCATGCATTCTTTATAAGTATACTCAAATTATACTGAGTAGTATTCACTATAAACTCATTATAATTTTTTTAAATACATGAAAGTGGAGAGAATATTATATATATGAATCCACACTAACCATAATTCTGCTTCAATAGCCATCAACTGTTACACATTTGTAAATCAACCAGTAAGCTTGGGGCAGTTTATTCTCCCAGCTGCCTGACCTGTTGTCAACAGGAACTGTTTGGTTTAACCTCAGGTACAGAAATAAAAAATTCACTTCTCCAGGATCACAGTTCTTGTGAACCAGAACAGCCAAACACTCTGAAAAGGAGCCATGACGTATTACCAGTGACCGCGCAGTGAGAAAAATCAGGTCTTTCATAGACTGGGACCTGAAAAGCCACTTCAACTCGTCTCTGAAAGCTATTCCTGCCAATTAAGGACTGAATTCAATAGAAAGCTAAGGTGTTTTGTTTTTGTTTTTTGTGTTTAATGGCCTACTTCAGCGTTAGCAATAGAGGAAATGTGTCCCTGCTCTCTTGAATAAATAGCCTTACCTGAAAATTGCTTGAATTTATTTAGCCCAAAACAAACAAACAAAAAAAGTGGGCTGGTCCTCTTAATTACAGTTGCAGGACGCCCGATGCGCAGGGATCCTATGGAGGCTAGGCGGGGTTAGTGACAGTCCAGCTAGAATCTAGATGCAGGGAAGGAGCGCGCTGCAGAGGCTGGAACCAGGCTCGGCTACGGGCTAGGCTCCGCCCCTACTCCGGCGAACCGGGGAGGCCCAAACTACACTTCCCAGAAAGCAAAGCGGCAGGGAGGCGCTAGAGAGACTTTAACCTTCGGTGGCCCGAGGCGCTTCCGGTTGGATGATTGAAGTCCAGCCCCTCCACCGGACTCTCCTCCTCCTCAGCCCAATTGGCTCCGCGGTCGTGCGTGGGAGGGCGGCTCCGTTGTCCCTGGCAGCAGTTGAATGGAGGTTCTCAGCCTCGCGACCTCACGGTAAAGGAAGTCCTTTCTATGGTCCGACATGTAGCTTCCCTGGCCGCGTCAGCGCCACAGAACTACATTTCCCAGGGGGCCGCGGGCCGCCCGGCGGCGTGGGGGCGGTGCCTCCCGTCTGGTACACTCACCCTAAACCTCTCCGGCGGGACTGTGATGGCCGGAGAGATGACCATCTTAGGTGAGTGCTGCGGGGTCCCTGTAGCTGGTGTGGGCTCTGACTCCCGTCTGCGGGGAGCCGGGTGGGCGGGGAATTGCCACACCTCCTAGATCCAGCTTGCGCCACAGGAAGGGCGCCGAAAAGGTGAGTGAGAGGCGGGCTGGGCCGTTGGGGAAGCCGCTTCGGAGTCGCCTGTAGGATGGCCCAGGCCGCGGCAGGCCCCCCGCGTAGGGCGGGGGCGGCCTTCTGCGCTCGTCCCAGGGACGTCAGGCCCGGGAGCGGCTCTCTCCAAAGCGGCGTGGCTTCCGGACCGTACGGGGAGGGGCCGTGGATCCTGCGCCTCCGGCCCTCGGGGAGGAGGAGGCCGCCGCGGGCGGGCGCCGCTGGGCGTGAGGCCGCCTGTGCGGGGTGCGGCCGCCGCCCGGCCAGACGCCCCCGGGCGGAGGGATGAAGTGCCTCCGAAGTTCTGCCCGCGGCGGCGAGGGGAAGTGGGCTTGGCACTTGATTTCGCTTTGTTGAGTCTGTGTTCAGGAGGATGAGCTGACTTTAGTAAAAAGACACATGCACACATATGGGCGTCGTAGGTCATAGGTAACGTGGATGGACGACGCAGGAGGTTAGCATAGCTTCCTGACACCAAATGAATTCATTGTACTACGCGAAGAGACACCTTTCTTCATCAGGCATTTGTTGATACTCTTTTTTCCTCATCAGTTAATAATTACTGAACACCCGCCCTTTGCTAGGAGCCCTTCTTGCTGCGGGAGATGCAACAGTGAGCAAACCTGCCTGCCAGGCTCCTCCGTGTATGTTGTCTTCAAGTTTGCAGGACGCACTCCGATGTTTCTTCTCTAAATTTTACTTGTGATAGAAGTGTGTCCTTAATTGATACTTCAACACAGATAAAGTTAACTATATTCTGTTATGAGCTGACAGTTTAATATCTAAGCAGCTTTCAGAATCATTTTATCCAATTTATCAATTTCATGTTGTTTAAAGAAAAAAGGAGATAAAGGGATGAATAATTTTAGCCTTACAATATGAGAGTTTTTGCTGTGGAAATTTTTGTAATGGAGTGTGTTTTTTTTTTTTAAATAATAATAAAGCGAATTATAAAGCTATAAGATCAAGTACCAATTGATCAAGAAATTGGATTATATCTAATTTGCTCCAGAAGAATAAGTTTCCCTGTCAACATCAGCACAATTGTTACTGAATGTTTTTACTTTTTATTCCTTTATCCACGCATAGTGAATTAGACAAACAGGTTTTTGTTTTTCCTGTTACCTCATTTTAAGTGCTGTCAGTTTACTGTGTGAAAAATTTGATGTTTGAGAGAAGTGTTACCATTAGTATTATAAAATAAAACATTTTGAGAGTATACTTTTTTAGTCTTGTTTCAAAGAGTGGTATTAAAGGGACTTTACTATAGTAATTTAGCTTATTGTACTAGTTTGATAAGACATTTTAATTTGTTGTATTTCAGGATCAGCTGTTTTGACTCTCCTATTGGCTGGTTATTTGTCACAACAGTATTTACCATTGCCTACTCCTAAAGTGATTGGCATTGACCTTGGCACCACTTACTGCTCTGTTGGGGTGTTTTATCCTGGCACAGGAAAAGTAAAGGTCATTCCGGATGAAAATGGCCATATCAGCATACCCAGCATGGTGTCTTTTACTGACCATGATGTTTATGTGGGATATGAAAGCTTAGAGCTGGCGGATTCAAATCCTCAGAACACAATATATGATGCCAAAAGATTCATAGGCAAGATTTTTACACCAGAAGAGCTGGAGGCTGAAATTGGCAGATACCCATTTAAGGTAAGTAGTTAAGCTAAAATCTATTTTAAATTTTGGTCAGTTATAAATTCAATTATATGTTTTGGCAACAAGTTATAAAACTTTTTATTTCAGCTGACTCAATTTGCTTGGAAGTTAATCCATAATAAGCAGTTTCATAGCAGGTCCAGGGTGAGTTAATTCAGTGGCTCCACAGTGCTGGCAAAGACTTAGCACCTTATATTCTTGCTCTGCCATCCTTAGAATGTCACCTAAGTCTTTCATTGTAGCAGGAAAGCTAGTGAAGTCCCATGTTCTATGGATGGATGGTAATATTCTCTGTATAAGTATACACATATTGAATGTGTACATATTTGTATATGTAAAAAATATCAAATTAGGCATTGTATTTTATGAGTTGTTTGAAACTTATCAACATATCATTTCCAATTAGTGAATACGTTCACATCACTGTCCTTCCTGGTTTCATGAAATGACCATTCAAGTACTTAATTACCCAGTTTTTATCAAAATACATTTTATTTTTTCTCTGGTTTCCCACTAATGTTGGAGTTTCATTAAATATCCTTTTATATATATCTTTTTACATTTCTCTAATAATTTCCTAAATTTGAATTCTAAAAGTAGAAATTGATAGGCCAAATGCACATATTTGAGGTTTTTGATTTATATTGACAAATTATGCACCGAAAAGTTTTTATGTTCCCAACCATTTTTTAGAGTGCCTGTAGCTTTATTAAAAATTATTTTCATCTTTGCTAATAGATAAGTAAAAAGTGATAGTTTGCATCAATCCCTATTATTTCTGACCTTGTAAAGGTAAAGGTAAGTTTTTATTAAAGTCCAGTGTGTGTGTGTATGTATGTATGCTTTTACATTCTTTTCTTTTCTTGGCAAATCTTATTCACAGGCTTTTATTTTTTTATTTTAAAAAATATTACATATGTCTCCTTTTCCTCCAATTGATCCCTCCCGGCCACTCCCAGGACAAATCCCCTCTGCCACAGTGTCCTTATCCATTGATTATGCTAATATGCACACATACAAGTCCTTTGTTGATTTCTTACCCCCACCCCCATACACACACACACACACACACACACACACACACACTCTCCCACGCTCTCCTGCCTTTCCTCTGTGGTTGGATTGTCTGTTGTCTATTTCTATTTTTGTTCATCGGTTTATGTTGTTCATTATATCCCATATATGATTAAGATAATGTGGTCTTTATCTTTCTCTGACTGACTTATTTCGCTTAGCATAATGCTTTCCATTCCATCCATGCTGTTTCAAATGGTAGGAGTTCCTTCCGTTTCACAGCAGCATAGTATTCCATTGTGTAGATCAGTGTTTCCCAAACTTTTGACATATAATTTTTGTAACGCTGAGTACCCCTCGTACTCATGAGAATGTAGAATTAGGCGCAGCTAAGTACGGTGTAGACGTATCCCCACCAAACTCCGGTGCAACCCGTACCCCCACCAAAATCTTCCCTTACCCCTGGGGGTACGCATACCACACTTTGGGAAACACTGGTGTAGATGTACCATTGTTTTCTAATCCAATCATCTGCTGATGGGCACTTGGGCTGTTTCCAAATCTTAGCTATTGTAAATAATGCTGCTATGAACATAGGGGTGCATATATCCTTTCTGATTGGTGTTTCTAGTTTCTTGGGATATATTCCCAGAAGTGGGATTACTGGGTCAAGTAGGAGTTCCAGTTTTTAACTTTTTGAGGAAACTCCATACTGTTTTCTATAATGGCTGCAACAGTCTGCATTCCCACCTGCACTGCATGATGGTTCCTTTTTCTATCCATCCTTGCCAGCACTTTTTCTTAGTTGATTTGTTGATGATAGCCATTCTGACAGGTGTGAGATGGTACCTCATTGTTGTTTTAATTTGCATCTCTTCAATGATTAGTGACTTTGAGCATGTTTTCATATGTTTCTTGGCCTTCAATATATCCTCTTTTGAAAAGTGTCTATTTAGGTCCTTTGCCCATTTTTTGTTTGGATTGTTTATCTTCTTTTTCTTAAGTTGTATGAGTTCCCTGTAAATTTTGGAAATTAAACCCTTATCAGAGATAGCATTGGAAAACATCTTCTCACATGCAGTGGGCATTCTTTTTGTTTTATTAATGGTTTCTTTTGCTCTGCAGAAGCTTTTTGATTTTGATGTGATTCCATTTGTTTATTTTCTCCTTAGTTTCCATTGCCTTAGGAGCTGTATTAGTAAAGGTATTGCTACTACATATGTCTGATATTTTGCTGCCTATAGAGTCTTCAAGATTTTTTATGGTTTGCTGTCTTACATTTAAGTCCTTTAACCATTTTGAGATTATTTTTGTGTATGGTCTAAGTTGGTGATCTAGTTTCATTTTTTGCATGTATATCTGACCAATTTTCCCAGCACCATTCTTGACTCCATTATATGTTCTTGCCTCTTTTGTCAAATATTAATTCAGCATAATGGCTGAATTTCTGTTCTGTTCCATTGGTCAATAAGTCTGTTCTTGGTCAATGTTCTTGGCTTTGTAATATAGCTTGATATCTGGTATTGTGATCCCTACTTTATTCTTCTTTCTCAGGATTGCTGTGGCTATTTGGGATCTTTTTTTATTTCATATGAATTTTTTGGAGAGTGTTCTAGGCCTGCGAAATATGCCCTTGGTATTTTATTTATTTATTTATTTATTTATTTAAAGATGTAGAGTTTTATTTTTTTTATTAACATTTTTATTTATTTTAGAGAGGAAGAGAGAGGGAGAGATATAGAAACATCAGTGATGGGAGAGTCATCGATTGGCTGCCTTCTGCATGCCCCTCATTGGGGATCCAGCCTGAAACCCCTGTATGCCCTGACTGGGAATTGAACAGTGACCTCCTGGTTCATATGTCAACACTCAACCACCATCCTATGCTGGCCAGGCTGCCATTGGTATTTTAATGGGGATTGCATTGAATCTATAAATTGCTTTGGATAGTATAGACATTTTGATGATGTTGACTCTACCAATCCATGAGCATGGTATATTCTTCCATTTGTTTATGTCTTCCTCTATCTCTTTTTTCAATGTCCTGTAGTTTTCCAAGTATAGGTCTTTTATCTCCTTAGTTAAGTTTATTCCTATTATTCACAGGTTTTAAACAAAAATGGAATGGTTGAGTTTTCTGTGACAAGTAATGAGACCATCACCGTTTCCCCAGAATATGTTGGCTCTAGACTATTACTGAAATTAAAGGAAATGGCAGAGGAATATCTTGGAATGCCAGTTGCCAACGCTGTTATTTCTGTACCAGCAGAATTTGATTTAAAACAGAGAAATTCAACGATTGAAGCTGCTAACCTTGCAGGTAAAATAATTACCTTTGCCCGAGTTACATTTCCACCAAAATTTTCTCAGGCTGAAAATGTTCTATAGTAAGATGTATCACTTTGCAAATCATCTAACTAAACACATAACTATATGTCAGGTAAAGTAGATGGATTTTGATACAAGTTTGCAAATGATAATTAAGGAAGTCTATAGGACAATATAAAATATATGTATCACTGACAATAACAAAAAAAAATATGTATCACTATCAGACACATGATAAAACTGCAAGATAACATGGACACAAGTTAGAAGCAAGTTTGTGCACATAGCCACAAATCAAAATCAGATTAGCTGTATTTTTTAGATTCAGCTAATTTCTTATATTTCAGGGTTATATTTTAAGTATTTCTTTAAAATTATAATTTTAGCTATTAGAGCATCTCATCTAGATTTTTTATTTTCTGTTTATTCATCTTCCATTTTTAACAGAAGAGCACAGTAAACTTATCTAATTTCCATAGTAGTTTGTTATCTAAACTAATAAAAGGGTAACATGCTAATTAGACTGGATAGGCAGGACATCCTTTTGGACAAAGCAACAGTGGCGGGGGCCAAGGCAAAGGCTGTTACTGGGGATCAGGCCAGCAGGAGAGAGCGTTTAGGTGCATCAGGCAGGCAGGCAGGCAGGCAGAGGTGGTTAGGGGCAATCAGGCCAGCAAGCTGGGTCAGTTAGAGGCGGTCAGGCCCTAATCTGTGGTTTTGGGCCTAAACCAGCAATCAGACATCTCCCGAGGGGTCCTAGATTGGAGAAGGTGCAGGCCAGGCTGAGGTACACTCTCCCTTACCCCTCTCCCCATGCACGAATTTTGGGCCTCTAGTAATATATAATGATTAAAGTTTTATTGCTCATAAATTCCCAAGTAAGATATGACAATGAGAAGAGGCTCAGATTTTTTTTTTAATTGAGTATGAATTAAGAATAAAGTGATATGTTCCACTGAATCTTGACCTTTATTTCATCTTATTGTAATCTTTTAGAATAATTTTAATGATACCTATTGTATTTAGAGGAACAATAACAGTATGTTGTTTTTATTGGGTTTATGACTGTTCTTTCTATTACTGAGTGGAGTTTTTTGTACTAACAGAATTTGATCTATAGAAGACACTATCGTGAGATTGAATTTCTTAATTGTATCTCCTCCAACCCATCATACAGGACTGAAGATCTTAAGGGTAATAAATGAACCCACAGCAGCAGCTATGGCCTATGGTCTCCACAAGGCTGATGTCTTTCACGTCTTGGTGATAGATTTGGGCGGAGGAACTCTAGATGTGTCATTACTGAATAAACAAGGAGGAATGTTTCTAACCAGGGCAATGTCTGGTAAGAAAAATAAGAGAGTTAAAGAGGTTACATTAGCATATCTAATGTGTGAAGTGTTTAATTTTTTCCCCCCAGTATTCTTTGACTGCATTTTGGTAATCTATGTAATTTTATGCTGCCACTTATATGTATTTACAAAAAATGATTGTGCATCCTGTAAGTCAGATAAATACACTGCCAGTGGTAACTCACTGAATCGGTGCTTTTCATGGCTATGGTAAAGGGAACAGAAGGAAAGAATTTTTTTTTAAATGAAGGGTGATCAGTTGATTTCATTAGGTAATCTGTTTCACAAAATAGATATCTTTAGTATTCTTTAGAAAGTGATAGGATTTTTCATTCTAAATATTTTAAAGGTTTTTGTTTTAATTTAGGTTAAGGGATGAATAAAACTTTGAAAGTGGAGCTGTAAGTTATAAGTGGTCTTAACTTCTGCATTTGTCTTCTAACTGGACTCTCTTTAGAATCAAGTTTAGTGCTGAGGATTTATATTCTATTACTCTTTTCTTTTTAAGTCATTTTTTTCTGCTCTTAACCATACAAGCAAACGATTTTTGTTTGTTTCTTAAAGATAAAATGCCTGCTGGTACATTTTAATTATAAGAAGGACTTTCTTCTATTGAATAATATTTAGTGTTTCTAAATTGTTACTTAAAAGTCAATCTGTGTTTTCGATCTGTTTTCTGAAAAATATTTGATATTAAGAGATATTTCCTTTTATATCATTTTAAAAAATTAACCCAGATGTGTACTTTTGTTGTTGTTTTTTAGTGTGTGTGTGTGTGTGTGTGTGTGTGTGTGTGTGTGTGTGTGTGTTTATAAGTATAAATATAGCCAGAGAAGAGTATTGGTAATTTTTCTGGGGCTGGGATGTGGAAAGGCATGGAGGTTTTTTGTGGGTTTTTTTTTGTGTGTGTGTGTGTGTGTGTGTGTGTGTGTGTGTGTGTGTGTGTGTGTGTGTGTGTGTTTTAGGAAGGGGAAGAGAGAGAGAAACATTGATGTGAGATAGAAACATCAGGTGGCTGCCTCCTGCATACACCCTCACCAGGGATCGAACCTGCAACCTGGGTACATGGCCTGACTGGGACAGGGAATGGAACTTGCCACTTTCTGATGTATAAAACAATGCTCTACATCAGCCATGGCTGAACTGTTTCATAGTACACATTTGAGTTAAAGTCATCTCAACTCTGTTATTTTTTAATCATTCTTTGTATGAATAAAATCTTAATATCTTCAATACAAACTTTGTTACTCCAATAAAATTATATTTATACATACATGCTAAATAAGTACATGTTTACACACAATATGAATAACTATAAAATAAACTTTTATTTTTAACTTAGGAAATAATAAACTTGGAGGACAGGACTTCAATCAGAGATTGCTTCAGTACTTATATAAACAGATCTATCAAACATACGGCTTCCTACCCTCTAGGAAAGAGGAAATTCACAGATTAAGACAAGCTGTGGAAATGGTAAAATTAAATCTGACTTTTCATCAATCTGCTCAAATGTCAGTGTTACTAACCATAGAGGAAAAGGACAAGAAGGAAATTCCGAATAGTGACACTGAACTGTCAAAGGACAGACTGTCCCCAGCAGATGGCCACCATGTGAGTAGCATGTTTGGAGCTGGCCTTTCTGAAAAGAAAAGTGGAGAAAGTCAGGTTTTATTTGAAACAGAAATATCACGGGAGCTCTTTGACACCCTAAATGAAGATCTCTTCCAGAAAATTCTGGTACCCATTCAGCAAGTATTGAAAGAAGGCCATCTGGAAAAGACTGAAGTTGATGAGGTGGTATTGGTTGGGGGCTCTACTCGTATTCCTCGAATCCGTCAAGTCATTCAGGAGTTTTTTGGGAAGGATCCCAACACATCTGTAGACCCTGACCTGGCAGTGGTGACGGGAGTGGCTATCCAAGCAGGAATTGATGGAGGTTCTTGGCCTCTTCAAGTCAGTGCTTTAGAAATTCCCAATAAGCATTTACAAAAAACCAATTTTAACTGAATTATGGAGGAATGATTATTTATGATCTTATCTGACCACCTCCTCCAAAAAAAAAAAAAAAGTGTCTAAGCTATCTCAAAAATTTACCTAAAAGGCAACATTCAAGATATATAAAATTTACATAACATTTGTTTTAAGATTTAATGTGACCAGATTGATCCTATTTGATTTTGAAGAGATCCCATTCCTACAAATACATCTAAAATGATAGTATAGGAACATGGATGGCTATATTTTCTAGATTCTGGAAGTAAATAACTATATGCACTTACAATTGTTTTCTTTGAATATTGTCTAGTGCCAATTAATTTACTTGATTATCACATGTAACTAATAATTTGAATTATACTTGAAGGACAGCATTGATGTCAGGTATTAGCATTAGCTGGGAGAAATATTAATATAAGCTATATATGTGATATTCAGTAATTGCCATATTATATAATAAAATTACTTTCACAGATTCAGTACCCCATTATGTATCCATGTAACCTGCATTCTCCAGATTTTTAAAATATATTCATTGGATATATTTCTCTTTCTGAAATAGCTACAAATTTATTCAAATGTTCCGATACCAGATAGTAGAAATACCCAGTTTATATATTCTAGTTTCTTTATCTGCTGTGCATCATTCTCCGCTTAAATTTCTATGATTCTGCCTGGTTAGCAAACAATGGGGAATTTTTAATAGCCTTTTTAAAATACATAATGTGACAATAAAACCATCCTTACTATCAGTTTTTGTTATTCAAGATTTTTTTAGACATTGATAAATAGCAGTAACTAGCTGCAGTATTTGTTTTATGTTTTTGTTTTGTTTCTTTGCTTATTTTCAGTTAGTCCTGGATAACATAGCTGGTATTTGATTCAGTTTTTCTGAGATTTCCCCCCCCCCCCATATTTAGTTTTGAATGAGGAAAAATATGCTCACTTATAAAAACCTTGCTATTATTTCGTACTGTCATTTTTTAAATAGTTACACTTGGACAATTTTTAGCCTTAAGGTTGGTGTTTGAAGAGATTAAAAAGATTCGTGAATATTGGAAGTAATGTGGAAATCTAATACAGAAGGCAATGTGAAAAAAATTTCTACTAATCAGCATTAGTAGCAGTTTAGTTTTGGTCTGTTTCCTTTTAGGAAAGCTACAGGGACCAAGAAAGAAAATACAGCAGTTTTGTTTCTGTGATGCTCATATTTTTTTCTCTTAATATAGGCATGCTTCATATTATTATTAAAAAATTATACTCTGGTCAATATTTTTGTTAAATTTTGCCTGCCTTATTCATTATTGAATTTGTCAGGATGTTAATGGAGAAATGCCAAAGATGAAACATTCACTACATTATGAAAATACTCAAGTGTTCTCTTGGACTTCATATAAATCTTTAATAGATTTTAGAATTGCAAGCAATCTTTTTATGAAGTTCTTTAAAGTGTTCAATTTCTCAAAATCTCTACATATAGAATCAGCTTTAACCTAAAGCATTTTAAGATTTTTTTAAAAACTTGAATTTCTCCAAAATATGAGATAGTTGAGGACAATATGATCATATTTTTTGGAGAAAACAATTTGCAAAATAGGGCAATGAATCTCATACTCTAAAATTGGAATTTAAATAACTTGATTGTGTCTGAAAATGACGATGGCAGTGTTGAAATTGGGGCAATAGTTTAACATATACTCTAGTTTCAACTTAAAAGATGAAGTAATGTCTACCTTCAATCATTTTACCAGGCTATAAATAAATAGACAACATCAATGTAGCTTATTTAAAAGACAAAATTGGATTCTGAAAGTGATCATTTATGTATAATCTGAAGACATTCTTCATAAAACAAACATTACGTTTTAGCTGTATAGCTAGTGTTTTTTGAGGTATATAACTTTTAAAATATTAGATGTCTTGTATAAATAGATTATGTGAATGAGTAATTTATTTTGTATCAGGAATGTTTTGGTACTGTGTTTTCACTCAAACCACTGATGTATCTATGGATATTACTGTGTAACATGTATTGTACATAACAGATTGTGCCTCTTAAATTTGTGTGTATACAGGTCATTCATATTTTAATGTAAATAAATATGACTTTGCAGTTTGTCTTAAGCTGTATACTCTATTTTTTCTATTTAGGACTAGGCCTGAGTTCTTTCCTGAGGTATATAAATAAGAAAGGAAGTGGGGATAGAGCTGACCTGATGCCCATGGCTTGTGATCTCAACAGCTGTTTCCTAGTTCCCTGCATCCTGGTTGTCTCTGAAATAGCTTACTTTTTTGCTTATTTCCCTGACTTAGAAGTATATTATAAACACTGTCCATAATTCTGAATACCAGTTCATGACTCCTAACTATAGTGGAGCCAACACCTAAACTAATCTAGTTGGTTAATAAATAATCCTGCATAGTAGGCTATTGTAATCCTTTGGCTGATGGTTAATACTTATAATTTTCTAATGTTGGTAATTTTTATATAAAATATTTTAGAGAAGTTTATTATATTACTGTAGTCTTTTCAAATGAGCCCTTAAAGATAGTAGACTTGATTCTTCACTGCTAATTCCTGTGATTCCTTTGTTATTTTAACTGCCATTACTGAGGAACTCAAATATATGAGGAAATATAGGGACATTTTCATATTTATTTCATTTAATAATTCCTCATTGGGTAGGGATCCTCTGATGAGGCTTCTTATGATCCCAACCTCCCAGCAAGATTTAACGACTCACTGCTAATGATCAGAATAGGGCAGAAGTGCTTCGGATGTCAATTCTGAAACTGGATTATGAGACTGGTTTCTCTGTTGGATGCATGCACTGACTTGTAAAGAAGACCAGGCTATTCAGATGGTGAGTACACATAGGGAAGAAGCCCTGGAATATGAGAGTCATGTGTAGGTGAGCAGGCATACCCCAGTCAATAACCACCTTCCAACTATGAGAGCCTGACCTTTCTCTAGGCAGAGCTCCAGATGATTCTGCCACAGTTGAAATTTGAATGAAATTTCATGAGATCTTAAAGCAGAATCTCTCAGCTAAGTGGTTTCCAGATTCCTGATTCATGTAAACATATTACATTTTTGTTTTAAGCTACTAAATATTGTATTTGTTTTTCAGCAATAGATAATAGAGTGTTTACTGTGTGCCAAGACTTCTAAATGTATTAGTAATACTAACCAATTTAGTTTTATTTTTGCAAATTCATGAGTAGGTGCTATTATCCCCATTTTCAGATAGGGGAATTAAAAGCATGGATCTAATTTCCCTAGAATTATTCAGCTAATAAGTAGAATCATGATTCATTCTTCAGTCAGTGCTTAACCCCAATAATGTGCTTCCTTAGACAACCCATAATACACTCCCATAGTACTTTTTCTGTTCAGTATCAAACTGTTGGAGAGTATCCATGAAAGACCTTTCATTTACCAGATGTTAAAATTGAAGGTTTAGTATTATTTAATCCTTTCCATTTCTGACAAGCAAAGATTTTATAAATAGAAAATAGAAATAATAGTCTACTTTGTTGTTTTTTAGTGAGTGGCACATAGAAAATGCTAAATATTATGAGTGGATAGAAATGGTAGAAAGAAAAGGAAATGAACAAAAGTTCGTGGCTTGCCAATTTTTCATGGAATTGTAAGAAAATGCCAGAAAAAAGTCCTACCACTAAAAGAGAAATATGCAAATTAAACATCACTCCCCTTTACCCACTAGCCACACCCATCAGCCAATCAGAATGAGTATGCAAATAAACCAAACCAAGATGGCTACAGCCACAGAGAGCAGGAGGGAGGCTTAGCTTTTCCAGGCAATTAAAGAAGCCAAGCTTCTGCCTGCCCTAGCTGGCCTAAGCTTCCACTCAAGGCTACAACATTTTAATTATAGAAGGTAAACAAATCCAAACAGAAATGGTGGCAGCCACGGAGCTGGAAAGAGCGGGAGGCTAGGGTTGCCCCTGGCAATGGAAGATGCAAAGCTTTCCACCTGCCCTAGCCCGCCCAGGCCTCCATGCAAGGCTATAAAGTTTCAATTATAGAAGATACACAAATCCCAAAAGAAATGGCTGCAGTCATGTAGCGAGCAGGAGGCTTGGCTCCACTCCAGGCTACAAAGTTTCAATTGTAGAAGGTAAATAAATTTCAGATACCAGGGCCTCTATTTGGGTCGCCAGGGTATGTGGCCAGCCTGCAAACCACCACAGACCCCTTGCTCAGGCCGCCCCACACCCCAAGGGAACCCCTACCCTGATCTGGGTCAACCTTCAGGGCAAACCAGCTGGCCCCCACCCATGCACCAGGCCTCTATCCTATCTAATAAAAGAGTAATATGCAGATTGACCATCACTTCAACACACAATATGGCTGCCCCCATGTGGTCAAAGATCCTGCCCCCACGTGGACACAAGATGGCCAGCAGGGGAGGGCAGTTGCGGGTGATCAGGCAAGCAAGGGAGGGCAGTTGGGAGGCACCAGGCCAAAAGATTTAAAAGAATCCAAAAATTAGGACTTTTTTAAAATGCCGTGAGGCCAGGCCCGGAGCAGCCGGGTCGAGTGCGGCCAGGCCCGGAGCAGCAGCTGCAGGCTGGGAGCGGCCAGGCCCAGAGCAGCTGGGTCAGGTGCGGCCAGGCCCGGAGCAGCGGCTGCCAGGCTGAGAGCGGCCAGGCCCAGAGCAGCCGGGTCAGGTGCGGCCAGGCCCGGAGCAGCGGCTGCCAGGCTGGGAGTGGCCAGGACCGGAGCAGCGGCTGCCAGGCTGGGAGCGGCCAGGCCCGGAGCAGCTGGGTCGGGTGCGGCCAGGCCCACAGCAGCGGCTGCCAGGCTGGGAGCGGCCAGGCCCGGAGCAGCCGGGTCGGGTGCGGCCAGGCCCGGAGCAGGGGCTGCCAGGCTGGGAGCGGCCAGGCCCGGAGCAGCCGGGTCGGGTGCGGCCAGGCCCGGAGCAGCAGCAGCCAAGCCCGGAGCAACCAGGTTGGGAGCGGCAGTGGCCAGTCCTGGAGCAGCTGGT